CAACACCGCCACTATGACTACTGAGCCACGAAGTCGCACATACATTGCCCTTTAAATATCAAATAGTTCTATATGTTATTAACAAACGCACATTTGGACTTGGAGTTTTTAAGAATATGTTGCGAAATTTAAGTACGAAAACTAACTTTTTTATATAGAGTGGGTCTTCGTACCATTTTTTTGAAAATGGCGAGAGATATATCCTTCCATACCCTTTCAATATTTGTTTACAAAAAAATGGTAGGGAGACCCACTCTATATAAAAAACACAGTTTTAACATTCAATTTCTATCATCTTTATGGTTACTTAAGCGAGTTACCATTTTGGTGGGTTAATTACAAACACTTTGTAAATAATTTGATTCAGGTTTTATTTTTACTGTATGCATATGGTTCTAAATAACTCCAAAATTTAACAAAAAATGGAATTTGCAAGAATTTTTTTAATCGATATTTTACCTGCCCGTGCGTAGGCATATGACTCACCTTATCCACCCAGATTCTTTCTACTAAAGTTAACATGCCCGAATGAATGGATAAATATTGAAGATAAATAGCAAACGAAACGTTCTTCATTTATTTTCAGCACTGTTCAGGGTTCTTTTGGGGAAATGTAACTCATGTGACGTCAGAGTCTAGACGCATCAAAAGTCACGTGCAGTTTGACATACGAGCCCGATTTAAATTCTAACAAAATAAACATCTGCGCTCTCCACAACGGTCGCACCGTCAACATATTAGATTAAACTTACATTTTAAAAGTTCTTCAAATCTTATATTGTGTAAACATTATATCTAAATTCATTGTTCTATAATAATTTTAAGATTCAGAAAAGAAGATATTTTCATACGCCAACATTCCGCCAAAAATATAGTCCCTACTAGTTTTCAAATGAAGTTTACCATTTCTATTTTAAGTTGTACAATTGTGACGAGGAAAGTAAATCCCTTACACCTAAATATACAAGACAAGTGTACTATGAATATTTCATCCAGTCAGAAACCAGAGAAGAATACTACCTTTACAAAAGCAATCCTAAATTGTTCAGTATTTTTCAAGCTTAGAAAACATAGATTTACAAACTTTACTCTTATAAAAATGCAGTACAGATACATAGACATTTTATATGGATATTTTGAATTGGGAGAATAAATTTAGATATTGAATGGTTTAATGACAAAAATAAGATAAAAAATGATCTATCTTATGGGGAAAAATGTTACTAGTGTGGACTACTTTTTGTAAGTGATATTTTTGGTAAAAGCAAAGACTTTTGAGGTCATGAAGAAATACTATATACAGGGTTATTTTCGCCTCATATTATTTTTTACCTTTTACAATTGATAACAATTTTGACCCGTTTTAAATTTGCCCAGTCACAGTTCTATGTAAGAAATAATACTTTTTTCTTTGAATTCGCCTCCTGTTAAATTCGCCCACTTATAACAAGGGTGAAAGCAGCGACAATAAAACGGGGAGAATTTCCCTGTATAAATTAGTTAAGCTCTATGGAATAAATGCTTCTTTCTTTAATTACATGTATATATAATGGCAAAATCATACAATAGAGAAACGCAAAATTGTGATTTTTCTAAAGATAAGGTAATCCGATCCTCAACCTGCGGCCGGAAGAAAAACTCTTTAATAAATGACTATATTCCAAAATTCAAAATTAAGCTTGAAAATTAATTTTTTATGCAACTTTATTCATTTCATTAAATATATCTTAAACTGCTTCAGGATTGTTTGCAACTGAAGTTCTCGGAAAGGTTTTTATAAAGTTTTTTTACCGCATAAAAGTATTTTAAAATTATAAAATTTTAAAGAAATTGGGGTCCATTTAAGGAATGTTTTTTAGTTTTGTGTGAGTTATTGGTGTGTGAATCACACAGACTTGTCACGTAGGCATATTTCATGAAGCGCGCTAGCAAGTCTGTGTGATTCACACACCAATTATTCACACTAAACTGAAAAACATTCCTTATATTTACATTTAACCCCTTTTGAGGCAACTAAAATATACTCAATATTTGAATTTCTCGCAGTCCTATATTATTGCATTTTACTAACGTCGCTGCAATCTCATTGTGACGTCACGTTAACGCACGTTTCTCTGTGTATATTTCTACGCGTGAGTATACACGAAAATGTTTCTCAAATCAATTTCACAGTAAGCATACTAGAAAAACACGGTGAATGTAAATATTTTGAATTAACCAAAGATAACAAAGTTTATCTATATGATATAAATGAGAAGTGATAAATGGTGTTTTGCAATGATAGAATAGTCTTGATACACTATGCATTCTAAGATGACGAATCAAAGAAAAGAGAAAATAAAGTACCTTATAATATAGGTATAAGAATTGTACAATTTCTTAAAAAGCCTGGATACGTATGATATTTCTATTATTGATCTGCGATTCTTCCTCATATAATAAGATGAACTTTAAAGATAAAGTTTGAAGAATAACCCAAGGTGAAAAAAAGTTACTTAATGTTCCTAGTTCTCCTGCCGACTGATCTTGTTTTTTTTTTATAATCAGGCAAAAACAAATAACATCATGCTGAAGTGAAATATGTCATTTATTAAAATAAATGACGGAAAAGTAAAACACAGTTAACAAAATGGGGGTCAAAAAAAGGAGGACTCAAATATAGAGTATTACACATCTTAGTCAAAATATTACACAATCTGACCCCCAGCACCATAATGACATTGTAACATGATGAACATAGGCAAAAGGGGGGGTCAACCAGACTAGAATAATAATTCAAACCCTGTAATCTTTCACAAGGTACAATATACATGCATTTTAAGTTGACCCCTTATAAACATCATAAGTTTGGAAGACATATACATAATGCTCTAAACTGCTGCCTGTCATAAAAAAAGGTGGAGATACAAAAAAACAAACAGCCAATAACAATACAATCGCGCAGGCATTAAATTGAACACAACTATGTTTCTCTCACCGCCGAGGAAAAACCATATATACTGTACTGTACAATTATATAGTCAAGAAGTGGTGTAAATCAGATGTGGATACTTAAAAATTCTAAAGAACTTTTGGACAATTTGAAATCACAAGACTTTACAAAAATCAACAGCATAAAAACTTACGACTTTTCAACTTTATACACAACAATTCCGCACGACAAATTAAAATCCAGGCTTTTTGATATCATTGACAGCTGCTTCTTCAACAAAAATGGAACTCGTAAGTTTACTTACCTCGTCATTGGTCATTTGAAAAATTATTTTGTTAAAACAGATTCTGATTGCACACATAAGTACTCTGAAGTTGACATCAAGAAGATGCTTGAGTTTCTAATTGACAATATCTATGTATTTTTTGGTGACCAGGTATTCCAACAATCTCTTGGAATTCCCATGGGTACAAATTGCGCTCCGTTATTAGCAGACTTATTTTTATATTCATATGAAGCAGAATTTATGCGAAATCTTTTGCGTGAAAGGGAAAAAACACTTGCTGTGGCCTTCAACTCGACATTTAGATATATCGACAACGTATTGTCAATTAATAATGATAATTTCCATTCCTACGTCGACACGATATATCCTGGTGAGCTTGAGATAAAAGATACCACAGAATCCGACACTTCTGTCATACTTGGATATTTTACTTGAAAAAAGACACAAATGGTAATCTAACAACCAAGCTATATGATAAACGTGATGACTTTAATTTTTCTATCGTCAACTTCCCTTACTTATGCAGCAATATACCTTCATCACCTGCATACGAAGTATTTATATCTCAGTTGATTCGATACGCAAGAGCATGCTCTACGTATGAACAATTTCTTAAACGAGGTAAATTATTGACAAACAAGTTGATGAAACAAGAATATCAACAGTCTCGTTTAAAGTCATCATTTCGTAAATTCTATGGTCGATACAATGACCTTGTCAGCAAATACAATTTATCATTGAATAAAATGCTGACTGATGTTTTTCATACCAATTGTTAGTCCATTATTTATACACTGAATTGATCACGGATTTTTTCCATTATTTCCTAATTATGACAATGAGCACACGGCGAGTGTGACCGGTCGGCAGGGGATGCTCTCTGTATCATTTATATGTTTTGAATTGACCCCTTTTGTGTATTACGTCATCAATTATGTGAAGGAACACAGAATTAAAAGCATGGACCCGACGCCATTCTTATGTTGTTTCTACGGGCTAATAAAAGCATTATAGGGCCACCTTAACCTTAACACATGGTGTCAGAAGTTTACAATGGATAAACTGGAACCACCAGGAGTACTTTCGCTCACGGGGAACGTGGCAGAAAATTGGAAGAAGTTCAAACAGAGGTTTGATGTTTACATGACAGCTACAGGTGCGTCCGAAAAAGGTGACAAACAAAAATCATGCATTTTCTTACACGTAGTTGGAGAAGAGGCAGTTCAAGTTTATAACACCTTTGTATTTGATGAGGGTGATGATAAATTTGAGGCGTATTGCACACCAAAACGCAATACTACGTATGAGAGACATAAGTTCTTCACGAGGGTGCAGAGGTCCGATGAGACCATAGACCAATATGTGACGGAATTACGAACTATGGCAAAGAACTGTGAGTTTGGAGATCTAGCAGATTCTCTAATACGTGACAGAATAATATGTGGGGTCCCAGACAACACGCTGAAAGAGAGACTTTTACGAACAGTCGATCTAACATTAGACAAAGCACTTGCAACCTGTAGAGCAGCAGAGTCGACAAAGGAACAAATAAAAAGTATTGTCCCTACTTCTGAAGTTCATGCCATTGGGGGAAAACCCAAAGACAAAAACGTTCGGACATTTAACATGTTTAAGCAAGGTAAAATTTGTGGACGGTGTGGATATAATGATTCACATAAGACTTGCCCCGCTATGGGTCAAATCTGCAATAAGTGAAATGGCGCAAATCACTTCGCAAAAGTCTGCAGATCAAAAGGCAAACAAAATCGTACTAAAAAGAAAATGCAGAAAAAGAAACACATTCATGACATTCAGGATGAACAAGCTTTCTTCATCGACGCTCTGGAGACAGTTCATTCCGACAAACCAGAGGAGTGGCGTGTAACTCTATGTACCAATGGCAAAGGAATCAACTACAAATTGGATACAGGTAGTCAAGTCAACATCCTGCTGGAGAAACAGTATCACATTCTACCATGGAAGCCAAAAATACACAAGACAAATATACAGCTTATGTCGTACAGCAAGCATAGTATTCCGGTCTTAGGAGCATGTGTTCTAGAAGTTTCTCATCAGGGAAAAGCAGCTAAGGTCTACTTTGTGATAGTTCAGGACGCTTCAACAGCAATCTTAGGCGTAAAAGCTTGCGACAAGTTAGGACTAGTGAAACGCACATATACCATAGAAAACTGCACAAAGATTACAGACACAACTGCACAGATTGTGGATCAAAATAATGACTTGTTCGAAAGATTAGGATGTTTACCGGGTGAACATAAATTATCCATAGATCCAGACATTACACCAGTAGTGAGTCCATGTCGTAAAATACCTTTCGCTCTACATGAAAAACTCCAAGATGAACTTAAACGCATGGAGGATATGGGTGTCATATGCAAAGAAACCGAACATACAGATTGGGTGAGTCCGATTGTAATCGTTCCGAAAAAAGACGGAAAGATCCGCGTGTGTCTTGATCCAATTCAATTGAACAAAGCGATACAGAGAGAACATTACAAGCTGCCAACGCGAGATGAGATTCATGCGAAGTTCAAGAATGCACATTATTTCAGTAAACTTGATGCTCGCACCGGATTCTGGCAAATGAAACTGGAGCAGAATTCATCAAAACTTACCTGTTTCAATACACCATTCGGAAGGTATCGATTTCTGCGTCTACCTTTTGGTATCTCATCAGCACCCGAGATATATCACAGGACAATTCATATGATATATGAACACATACCAGGATGCACGACAATGATGGATGACATCATCGTATGGGGTTCAACGCTACAAGAACACAACCAAAGACTACAGCAAGTGTTTGATGCATCGCGCAAAGCAAATCTCAAACTGAATCGAGAAAAATGCGTATTTGGAGTTAAGGAACTTACATTCGTCGGTGACACTATATCCGCAGAAGGAATCAAGCCAGACGAGGCCAAGGTCAAGGCCATAACAAACTTTGAGACTCCAAAATGTAAGAAAGATGTACAACGCTTTTTAGGCATGTTGAACTACCAGGCAAGATATGTTCCAGACTTGTCGTCGAAAACTCAAGTTCTGCGAAATCTCACAGAGGACAAAAACCAATTTCAGTGGACTACAGTCGAGCAAAAATCATTCGATGAGTTAAAGGCCATATTAACAAGTACATCAGTTCTTAAGTTCTTTGACCCGAACAAAGAGATTAAAATCTCTTCAGATGCCTCTAGTTTTGGACTGGGAGCAGTGCTCTTACAGAGGCATGATAACGAGTGGATGCCGGTGGCATATGCGTCGCGAGTTATGTCTGATGCAGAAACCAGGTACGCGCAGATTGAGAAAGAAATGTTAGCCATATCATTTGCATGTGAACACTTCCACCAATACATACTTGGACAGGTAGTAGAAGTGGAAACAGATCATAAACCACTTGTGAACATTTTTAAGAAGTCCCTGAAAGACTGTCCACTACGATTACAAAGACTGCTGCTGAGAGTACAGAAATATGATCTACGTATTGGCTACACTCCAGGAAAATTTATGCATACCGCTGATGCATTGTCCAGAGGAACAGATATGTCAACGAAACTGGCCAAATCAGAACAGGAGGAGGATCTCAAAGTGTATGTAGACTCTGTCATTAAGAGTCTACCCATATCAGATCGTAAGCTACAGAAGATTCGTGAGGAAACTCAACATGACCCAAAATTGCAGTTACTAGCAGACGTAATTGTTAAAGGATTTCCCGAAACGCGCATTGAATGCCCCAAGGAAATATCAGAATACTGGAATATACGGACAGAGCTGAGTTTATGTGATGGAATCATCATGAAGACAGACCGCATTGTTATTCCAGTCTCATTGCGGAAGGAGATGCTTACCAAAATCCATACAGGTCACCTAGGTATCGAAAAATGTCGAAATCGAGCCAAACAAGTGATGTATTGGCCTGGAATGTATGCACAAATCGAGAAAATGGTGAATTGATGTTCAACATGTATCAAATTCCGTCCAAAACAACCGCCGGAACCGCTTAAACCACATGATGTATGCAATTATTCGTGGGAAAAAGTGGGAGCAGATTTGTGTGTATTCAATGGAGAAAATTATCTTGTGTTATGTGATTACTATTCCAATTATCCAGAAGTGTGTCGTTTGCATAGTGTGTCAAGTCAATCAGTCATTAATGCAATGAAATATGTGTTTGCAGGCCAAGGCATACCTAAGATAGTGTTCAGTGATAACGGACCACAATTCAAGTCAGCTGAATTCAGTGAATTTGCAAAGTCATATGATTTTCAGCATCATACGTCAAGTCCATTATAATCAAAATCGAATGGGTTAGTCGAGAAAACCGTAGGCATTGTAAAAGGCCTATTGAAAAAATCGGCGGATGATGGATCAGATTTCCACATGAGTCTACTCATCTACCGTGCAACTCCTATACTCGATGGGAAATCACCAGCCGAAATACTGAACAATGGACGTAAACTGCGTTCGAACTTACCAATGGCTGATAGTTGCCGTGGAAACCATTTAACCGAGTCTTACAAAAGAGCAAAGATGCAACAGAAACTCAAACAAAAACAGTATCATGACAGAAACACAAAAGAGTTATCGCTGTTGAGTCCAGGACAAACCGTCCGTCTTCGAGATCATAGTGACAAGGATTGGGGTAACTGTGGCAAGGTGCTCGACCAAGTTGCTCCGAGATCATACTTGGTTCAAACCGAAAATGGACATGTATACCGCAGAAATCGCAGACATATTTTGCAGTCAAATGAACAATTTACACCATATGAACAATATGATTGTCAAAACAATGATAATGTTGATCATTCTAGTCATAATCCATGTGATAATGGAAATACTCAATCACTTAGTCAGGATATGTCTATTTGTACCAATCATGTACCCACACAAAATATGTCAGGGACCACAAGGTCTGCTAGGACAGTTAAGAAACCAGAGATTAATTGAAGAGATTTAATTTGTTGTTTGTGGGTCAGATCAGTACCATGAAAATTGGGTATGTGAGTAAGGACATAAAAATCTGTGTCATTTGTTGTAAATTTTGGATTAGTTGTACTGTTTGTTTTTTACTTTTGAAATGCTAGTCAGTTGCATTATACAGACAATTTCTTAAGTTTATTTTGACATTATAGTTTCAGTGTTGTAGTTTGTTAATGTACCAGGCTTCATTACATTGTTGCATACTAAATCTTAAATTTCAATAGAATTTAATGTTTTTTACCTAATAATAGTTAATGTAAGGTTTCACATCTTTCAATATCTTGTAAATGTTATTGTAGCTCTTGACTCAATTTTAAAAGAGGGAAGATGTATCATTTATATGTTTTGAATTGACCCCTTTTGTGTATTACGTCATCAATTATGTGAAGGAACACAGAATTAAAAGCATGGACCCGACGCCATTCTTATGTTGTTTCTACGGGCTAATAAAAGCATTATAGGACCACCTTAACCTTAACACACTCACTCCTCCATGGCACCTGATCCCACCTCTGATGTTTCGGAGGTCCGTGTTTGCTCTGCTCTTATTTTGTATATTTGTTTAATGGACGTTGAGATTGATTACTGTTCGTTATTTCCATATCCTTCATATAAAAAGCCACACTGCTTTATGCTGAAAAGTCATATGGAAACCTGCAGACCAAAGCAAAATTGCGAAGTACACAAAATAAATGTCGGACTCATTCTCAGTAACCTAATACATGGATTTGCCATTTATTACAATGTACAAAAAGTTTACTTGTTCAGTAAGAACGTGCAGTAGAAGTGAGTACTATAAATCTCTTTCAAACCCATTCAAACACTATCAATAAGGATGGGTAAAACATAACAACAAAAATATCAACCTGAAAGAAATAACAAGCACTGGTGGCAGAAGGGGTGGATGGTGGTCGAAAAATTCAGCAGTTCAAAAAACCATGCTTTCTCTTTTGGTAAACGGATCAATAATGATCACGTGGAAAAGGGTAAAATTAGTTCAATAAAAGAACCGAATAGCTACTTAGTATAAAGCTATGTCCAATACAGACACTGTTATATAATAACATATGTCACAAAAATGAAATTATTTGCAATAATTACTATTTTCGGAATTCAGAGACATTTTTGTTAAGGTTTTCATAGTCAATGCTTGATTTTCAAAACCTGAGGATCGGAGTATTTTTTTCAAAATACATTGTATACCCCGTTACTGGGTTTGCAAAGAATAATTAATTGTGCAACCAACTTGTATCACAAAATGGGAAAAAATACTTTCGATTGGAGCATTACAGAATTAGACATGAATAATATCTTTACAATTCCATGTAAGTGGAATAGTGAAATTTATTTGCAATGTTTAAATTACAAATTAATTCATAGATTTAAAGCAAGTAAAAAAAAATATAAATTATATGGGTATAAAATAATAACCAATACGTAAAACGTGTAAGGAAATCGACAAAATAGAATACAGTTTTTTATATTTTGTTGAAAGTACTAAGGCATTTTGTAATGACTTTTAAAACTGGCGGAGTAGTTTGAATTTATCAGTGTTTTATCTAAGATATTTCATATCAAAATATGATCTTTGGAATTTTTATAAGTTCTTAAAACAAGCCTCTGATTTACTGTCTATTGCTAGCATAACACTATGTTTATACCTTTATAAAAATACACGAGAGAGTTGTGAACTAATTTGATCTGTATGGTTTTTAGACAATTTAAAGGAAAAAAACATTATTTTAATTAAATATTTCTATATTGTTTGTTTGTTGTTTAAAGTTCCTCTCGAGAATCTAATCATGTTCTGATGTTTTTTTTCTTACCAGGGAGTCTGGCTTGCGACATATGTCTGAGGCCGTATTTGCTGCACTGTGTATCAAAGTGGGAACTTCTAAGCAGGTGATTTTAAGAAGAGATATAATAGACATTCATGAAGTTTTTAGTAATCAAATATTAGCTAATAAAGGTCTGAAAATGCTGTTTAGTGGAAGTTTTAGGGAAGGATTCAGACTTGAAGGATCAGACAAGGACGTGATGGTATGGAATACCAAAAGTCTTGTTATCCAGAACTTAGATGAAGATTGGAATTATTCAGATGTAAAGGATCCCCTTCTGTGTGACTGTTCTGAGAGTCCTCCTGGATTCTCTTTACTTAAGAGGATGTTACCAAGAAATATGAGGGATTTTTTAAGACAAGTTATTCAACTCCCTTCACTTTGGTTCATATTTGATCTTCTCCACCCAGTAGTGTTCATAATGAATGATAGCATTTACATATCCAGTTCAAAATGGAGACGATCCTCGATTCGACAACCACGGTTTACTGAACATGGACCCTGTATAATGAAATACCAAAACCGCACAGAATATGATTGTGCCTACTGTATTAAGTCCAACTTTTGGCCTCTCTCTGCTTCTTCATGGATAGACAGATGTCATGCGTGGCCTCAGCCTCAAGTTGTCCATGATATAGTCAGACATGGATGTCACTTTGTAGCTATCGGACACAAACTAGGAATTCATAAAGACAATGAATGGAGGATGTCTTTTTCTCAGGCAGAACAAAAGCTTGTGTACTCCATGAACCACTCTCAGTTCTTAGTTTATGGTTTGCTAAAACTCTTCCTCAAAGAAGTAATAAATCACGAAGTTGATGATCAAGATAAATTACTTTGTTCCTATCACATGAAGACATCAATTTTCTGGGCGATTCAACAAAATACAATACCCCACTGGTGTCCACAAAATCTAATGAAATGTTTCTGGGTCTGCTTCAAACTTCTCGTTAAGTGGGTGTACGTGGGTGTCTGTCCTAATTTTTTCATTCCTGAAAACAATATGTTTCTGAGTAACATTCATGGCAAAGCACAACAAAATTTATTCCTCAGACTGCATAAATTTTATGAAAAGGGATTAGCATGCCTACTTCACAGTCCCTCCATCAGTCCCTTTCTTATTAAGCTCTTCCTCCATTTTTCTAGACTTTCTAGACAATCCATAAGTACTACTAGTATTTATAACAATCTCATCACAAATCATGAGCATAACATTTTGTTAGATTTTGAACTTTTATGTGAGACAAATATAAGCTTTCATTTGTTTTTTATGGACCTTCAATGCTGCATTAGGTGTCTATACACAATCGAACATTTGGTAGGTTCATGCCTGACAGAGTATCAAGTTGTCTTGTTACAGAAACAAAAAGCTCTTGTCCTTCAATTAACAGCTTTTGCACTACTCAACAGTTATGCTTACAAACGTGGAAACAAACTGTTGTATAAGGCTGACAAGATATCCCGTCATGTGTTGAGATTAGCAATCAAGTTTGGTTGTACATTTCACAGGTGGTACATAGCTATGTACTATTATCGGACATTTAGATATAAAGAAGCTCTGTCTATCATAGAAAAATTAGAAATTAAATTATGTAACATTCTTAAACCCGAAAGATTTAGTTCGCTTCAAAGCGCAGGAGAGACCTTGACTGCAAAAATAAGGCAGGAAACAGCAGGTGCCATCACTTTAATAAGTGGCATCTGTTACATAAATGAATTATTACCAGAACAATCTGTATTAAATAAAAATACTAATCTGAGTATTCCTTCATCTGTCCTATCTTACATGCTAAAAATTCTGTGCTCCATTCATACTGATACAATAAAAGCACAAACAGCTCTAGATGATTTACAGGTTCTGGTTCAGTTTGACGACGGCGTGCATGTAGCTAAAAGAGAGAAAGCCATATCATGGCAGATCCTAGGGATATGTCAGCAGATCACAGGGGACTTAGAATCTGCTCTATTCTCATACCAACAATCCCTTAGACAAAAAGAATACCAATATTATGAAATTAAATATGTCTCACAAATGAGAATACAGGATATAATGAGAACAATGCAGTATGGATAAATGCCATAAAGTCAATGGTATAATACTTTATACTGTCCTTTTACATGTTTTAAACGATGTTT